GATATTAAGCTAAAGGCCAGATATAGCCTAAGGTATAGAGATATGGATGTAAGCTAGAGTTATTACATCTCTCCCAAGTTATTTAAAGTTATTTGAATAACTTTTCTAATTACAATGTTTCATATATTTATGGAATATTCTATGGTTCTTGGGTCATTTCATATCACATTGGGACATACACGTACATGGTGTACTGCTCAGTTGTGCATTGAACTCTAGAGATGGTGAACTAATAGTTAATTCACTCTAATATCTTTTAAAAATGGATCATAACTTGACTATTAACTTTCTGTTCATAGTGTTACAAATCAGCCAGGAGATCTTATTTCAAGAGTTAAATGTTTTTGAATTATATGAAAATTATTAGAAAAGGGAAATAAACTATAGACTATAATTAACCTCAGAATATGATAATTAAATCCTTGTAATGGATTTTATATTTTAGGCAATGTTCTTCTGGACTACACTTTACTTTCATTCAGTTACTGTGGCACTTACCTGGCTAGTTACTCCTCTCTTCCCGAATTTGAATTGGCGGTGTGGTAAGTTCTAGCATCCTGCAGAATTCCTTTCATTTGGGTTACATTTTATTTGTTAAAGGAATTTACATAATTCCTTTACATTCGGTTACTTGTCTTTCTGGATTTTATCACAGGACATATACATGAAAAATCTGAAACAAGAAATAAATGGAAAGAATAGAAGCCCTAATAATAACATTTAATATAGTTACTACTTTTAGGCATAAAATTTGGTAGGGCAAAAGCTAAATGAGAGCTAAAGTAACTATCACCTTTCTCTTTTTATTAACGGGTTATAATTATCTCCTTGTCAGGTAAAGAATACATTTATAAATACATAAAGATTCATCTTTTCTAAAAATAAATGGTAACTTTGAGTTATTTGCGTATTTCCCACTAATGTTAAAATGAAGATGGTCTCTATATTAGAACTCAGTTGGAAGTAACTGCTTTTAGAGACATTGGAACAATTATATGTTCAGGGAGTGGAACATTGTACCGCCTTTCCCAGATGTACAGGAAGCACCTGTGCATAGGACACACCTGGGTCATTCCATGTGGCCAGCTTCACAGCTGCACTCACTCGTTCATCCATAATATAAACATCAGGGAAATCTTGTTAAGGGGAAGTGCCAAATGTTCCAGGAATGACTGAGGATACTCCTTACATATCAGTATTTCTTATATAAAAATGTAATCATCTAGGTTCAGAGAGCCACATTTAGTTTACACAGTTTATTTTTTTAAAAAAGCTTTATCGAGATATAATTGACGTAAACTGCTCATATATATATACAATCTCATAAGTTTTGACTTACGTATAAACCCACAAAACTATCACCATAATCACGATAATAAATATAGCCATCACCCCCAAACGTTTCCTTGTTCCCCTCAGATCCTTCCGTGTTGGCCCTTGCCACTCATACCCTCACTCCATCACTGCCCCATCCCCTGCCCCCATTCCACCACTGATGTGCTTTCTGTCACTCTGGGTTGGTTCATGTTTTCTTGAATTTCATATACAGGGAATCTTACATTATACATATTCTCTCTTTTTTTTTTTTTTGGCTGGGATCTTCCATGCAGCATAATTGTTTTGAATGATCTTATTTTGAAATTCTCTTATGCTGTGTGTGTCAATAGTTCATTCTTTTCTATCCCATGGTATGGGTATCCCAGTTTGGTGATCCATTCTCCCATTGATGGATGCATTAGTTTGCTAGGGCTGTCATTAACCAAGAACTACAAACTGAGTGGCTTAAACAACAGGAATTTATTGTCTCTGTCCTGGAGGCTAGAAGTCTGAGATCAAGGTGTCATCAGGGTTTGTTCCTTCTGGGGGCTGCGAGGGAGAATCTGTTCCAGGCCTCTCTCCTTGGCTTGTGAATAAATCTTTTCATATTTACATGTTCTTCTCCTTGTATGTGTATCCGTCTCCAAATTTCCCCCTTTTATAAGGATACTAAGCATATTGGAGTAGGGCCACACTAAATGACCTCATTTAACTTAGTAAATATCCCATTTCCAAATAAGGTCACATTCTGAGACTCTGAGGGTTAGGATACCAACATATGAATTTGGGGGGACACAATGCAACCCATAGCAATATTTAAAGGATGAGTAGGGAACAGCCTTGTGAAGAAGAAAAGGGAGAAGAATCCAAGCAGAGGAATAGCATGTGCAAAGGCCATGAGGCCAGAGCATATTCAGGTTCAAGGATTTAATTAGATCATTACGATGAGAACAACAGATTAGCCATGAGAGACAAGCCCAGAGGGACAGTCTGAGGACAGCTCATGAGCAGCCTTGTAAATAAGTGATCATGGAGTTTATCATCCAAATCAGGACACTTCTGAGAGTGAAAGGGGATGTTATTAATAATTAATGCCAAGCAACAGGCCTAAACTGGGTTTGTCCCGGGCATACTGGGAAGGTTACTTACCCTATGTATAAGCCATTCTAATGGGCATATATCCTTTATCCTAAAGGCGATGGGAGGCTCCTAAAGGGTTTTAAGCAGAGATGTGACACGATCAGATCTGCATGTAAAAGGACTCCTTCCAGTCCTATCATGGAAGACATATTGGAGGGAAATAAGTCATGGACATCAATTAGTAGGCCATGGTGGTCCCAGTGAGAGATGACTGTGGCATGGATTAGGGTAGTGGGAATAGAGACCAAGGGAAGTGAAGATATTTGGGAGGTGTTTAAGAAGGAACTCCATGGGATATGGTGGCTGACTGAATGTTGGGCACGGTGCTGAGGGAGAGTGAGAGTTGAGGGTTATACCCAGAGTTGTGACTTGGGCACTTGGGGACATTATGGTGCTATTCAGAAAGGTACCGAAGGCATGGGAGGAGGGAAGATTAGTTGGAACAAGCTGATCGAGGGTCCATGAGATAAGTAAATGGAGATGTGTAATTGGCTGTTGATGCATCAGTTAGGATTTAGGTTCAGTTGCTGTCACAGAAACCCAAATTACCCCAAAGAAGTGGCTTAAACCAGAGAGAAGTTAGTTTCTTACACATGCAGTCGTCTGTGTATGAGAGCTCATGGCAGGTATGGTGGCTCCCCAGAGCCAGGAGCCTGTCTCCAACTATCTTGCTCTTTCACTCGTAGGGTGTTGTCCTCATCTCTAATCTAAAGTGGGGCACCACCCATGTATTTCTGGGAGCCAGTGAGAAGGGAAAAGAGTAAGGGAAAGGGCACAAACCGTTGCTGGAATGCATAGCCTGGAGGTTGCACACATCACCGACACTTAGATCCCATTGGCCAGCTCAGTCACAAGTGATGTTGAGCTGCAAGAGAGGCTGGGAAATGTGGTCCTCATGGTGGGTGACTGTATGCCTGGCTAAAAATGAGGAGTTCTGTTCCTCGGAGGGAGAAATGGAGAATAGATGTTGAGAGACATATAGATGATAGATATCTGCCACAGATATCGAGGACTGGAGCTCAGGAGACAGGGCTGGAGATAAACATTTGGGATTTGTTAAATCAGATTGGTAATCAAAGTGCTAAAAGTGAATAAGAAGACCGAAGGAAGAACTTTGGACAGAATCTAGAGGAACACCAATCGAAGGGACTTGAAGAGGAACAGGAGCCTCACTGGAGACTGAGGCGGAGCAGTCATGCAGGGAGCAGGGGCCCAGAACATGCCTCAGCTTGGGTTCTGCAGAAAGCAGAACCTGAGGCAGAAGCTCTTGAGCCACTTCTTTAGTAGGGAGTGCAATCTCAGACAGGAGGCACGCAGGAAAAGGGGAGGAAGGTGGGGAAAGAGGGGAGCCATATAAGTGTGCATTACTTTGCCAGCCACCGCTTGGTACCAAGTGCAATTGATGGCTCTTTCTCGCAGGTGGTCTTTGGAGAGGCTGTATGAACTACTGTGAACGTGGATAGTCGTAGAGCAGTGACAGACAGTGGACTGGGAAGGGGAGAGGAAGATATGAGAACTTATCCACCAAACTCCTGTTACCCTGTCAATCAAAGGTCCACTGCACAGGGTATTAACTCCACCGCACTTAGGTTTATTGTGGCCTCCTGCATGTCGTGGCCCAGGGGCCAAAAGGAAGCTGCTGGGCATGTGGAGTAGGTATGAGGTGAGGCACAGGTGGGGTGTGTACCCACAGGAAATTCGTGAAAGCCTACACATTTGGACAGCCACCAAGTCAGCTACTTAGAACAGGTGATCTGGGCCTCACAAACAGCAGGAGACTGAGAGGTATAGAGTGTCCGTAAGAGGTGTGTGACAGAGTCCAAGAGTCATTTCAGAAGGTAGTCATGGTAAGCAGAGTCAGATCCTGCAGAAAAATCAAGTTCCACAAGGGCTGAGAAGTGCCTGTTGGATTTGGGATGAAGGTGGATGTCAGTGGATTTGGGACAGAGCTGTGTCAGTGGAATGGTGATGATGTAATGCAGATATCCTGGGATGAGGGGAGAGTGCTTGAAGGGGAGGGGAGAGACATGGAAAGGTGACTTGGGGGAGGGCTTTTTTTTTTTTTAAGGTGGTACAGATGAACACTTAATTTAAATATTGACAGATAGAGTCAGGAGAGAGGGAGAGTGTGAAGATGCAGCAGAAGAGTAATAACAGATAAACTCATGTTCCTAAGAAGGCAAGGCCTGTAGGATTCAGAGCACAGGCTGTGAAATTGGCCTTAAGTGGAGGGACGTGCCTTTCATTGTAACAAGAGAGGAGAAGGAAAGACTGACACTGGCCCTGACTGGTTAATTACACTTGATAACAGGAATTGGGAGTGATTCTAAGCTGATGGCCTCTATCTTCTTCCTGGGAATCAAGGTCATTTACTAAGAGTAAGGTGGAAAGGCAAGAAGCTTCAGGAAAATGGAGAATATTAAAGATCACCACATTAGAGAACGTGAGGAGAGAGAACTGACCAGAGAAACAGCAGAATTGGAGGTTGTATTGGGGCTCCAGTAAGGGTGTGAACCAGGAATTTACAATGTCACTGACACACATAGTCCTGTGATCTTTGTTCCTGTTTTGCCAGGCATCTGAGGCAGAAAGTCAAAAGATCCAAGGAGCCAGCAATACCAGCAAGAGAATGGTTGGACAGGATATTTGTGATAGGGACGGAAGGAGGTGAGGGCAGGAGGAAGCCAACACACAGGCGAGCTCCACACATATTAGTTCTAGTTTCCCAGTCACAGCTCTGAATGGAGAGCGCTGGCTCCTTGTATGAGGGGATAGCTCACATTAATTTTGCTTTTCATTTCACCTAGCAAAGGACTTGCTCATGGTAGCCATTCAAGATATTCTCTCAAATGAATAGATTTTAAAGTACCAGGAGTATTAAAAACTCGGTAGATGATCAGTTGGCATCAGCGTGTACAGTACACCCAGGTTCCTGGAGCACTCGTGTAGAAACTTCGACACCTACACTTATATTTCAGCAAATGTGATGATGTATTCCATTTTCTAGATTTGGATGAATTAAATACAAATTTAATAAGGGAGATTAAAATAGCCTTGGTAGCATATGACAGAGTGATATTTAAAAAAAAATAGTTATTTTGCTTTCTTAGGCAGGTACAGTATAATGACAAGCATGATTATTTATAAATTTGATATTAATGGCATAGTAATTATGTATAATAATGTCATAAGGTATAATAAATTAAGTCTCAGTTTATGTAAATTGTTTTCAAGTAATTAAATAAATATTCTCAAGATAATGAAATTCAAATGAATTCTTTTTCACCAAATGCAATTTTTCTCCAAGGAACTGGGAATCGAGTGTCATTTTGTGCAAGAAGTCACAACTCACTGTGGATGTGAGCCAGATGACTTTTAACCCCATGAGCTGGCACCAGCTATGCTTGTCAAGTCCCAGTTCAGTGACTGTGTGGACCATCGAAAGAAGTAACGAGGAATATTATCTCAAAGCAAAGTAAGAGATTTCATTACAACACAATAAAGTGGTGGTCTCTGTTTGCATTCATGTAATGTGATTGGATCAATTTGATGAATTAAATGGTTTTATACATACATTTTAAGTTATAATATCTTTCTACATATATAATGACCTTGGAGTGGTTGTTTGCATTTCAAAAAGGTTCTCTGTGACTTGATTTCCCAATGAGTTTCTTTTAATGATCAAGTCATCCTAGAGCTTTTTCCAAAATGCTTTAATTTTCCAAAATTTTAGTGGTGCTTGCTATTTTAAAACATGCCTATTGTATAAAAAGAAAGGTTATAAACTTTTGCTCCTATTACTTTGTGCCCAACTGGAATCTCAAACATAAGAACCTTTTAGCTATGGAGATTTTATGCATAGATTATACACCTTCAGCCACATCATCTACAAACAAAAGGGTATTTGCATGTAGTAGAGTCTTGGGAGTTACCTATTTAAATAGAACTGGGTCAAAGAGAAATTCTATGCCCAATGTCCTAGGGATAGTTGATGATAATGATGTCTTTGTTGAAAAGAGCTCAAAGACTCGAGGTGCCCCTGAACTGACCCCAAGTTAAAGATGTTGGTCATGTACATCCTTGAAATTGCAATTTTTGAAAAATTGCCTCCTTAAGAGAAACTTAAAACTAGTAAATCAAGTTTTCTAAATGCATAACCATGAGAGAGGGCACTTTTTTCTGCTCAGTATTCTTTATGTCTCAATTTCATTTTTACAAGAACCCTTTGAATAGCCAAACCTGTCTCTAGCCTGAGTCGACAACACTGCGGGTAATGCCTCTAACAGATCCTTGCCAGGGCAGGCAAGTAATTTATCATACCTTCTCTATTTTTGCTTCCCTTGAATATTCTCTTCTAGCTCTGAATGCTGAGTTGTGGTTTTTCTATAAGCAAATAAAGTGGGAGGAAAAGTGAGTGGCTTTCCGGTTCAGAATACCAGCAGAATTTGAAAACACTTAAGCCTTACGTTTGAGTAGTAGGTACTATTTTACATGATCACTTTACAAAATTATTCATCACCTGTAAAACATAACCAAGGAGGTTTTGAATGTAATGCATAAAGCTATGAATAACTCATCATGATAGCCATATTATGGATTAAAAGTAGATACATGGTAAATTTGAACATGAATTCTTGATACTAGGGGCCGCAAAGTAGCTGAATACAATCTACATATATGTTTATTTTGGCCCATAGTGTTTTTTATTTGAATTGATTGCCAACATTTTAACTTTGAGAGATCTTCATGAATATCCAGATTATGATATTCTCTTGAAATTTTGGAACCAAAATCCTCACATGTCAGCAAACCCTCTTGGCTGGCGCTGAGTAGTGCCTGCCAGTTTTAGGAGGAAAAACAATTTCCCATTGGCCACAATTGCCACCTTCCCACAGTTCACCTGCCAGGCCCTGCCAACATTCAAATTCCGACCCTGCTTTAGATGTTAACTTTGGAAAATTTTGAAAATCCCTATGTATTTAATTTATAACTGTGCATTACTTCTCCTTTTATGACATATATTTTAAAATCTACTATTTGGCTTTTATCTGTTTTACTTTGTTTCCTTTTTATAAGTTATAACACCTTTCCACCTTGTTCACCACCAATATTCATCAGTTACATTAATGATGAGTTTCTGCTGATCTGATTATTCTAATGTTTCTTTTTTCTATAGGTCAATAAAACTACCCATGGAAGACGGGTCATTTTTTAATGAAAAGGACTTAATTTTTCCCAGCTCGATGCCGAAGGATCTTATCTACGGACCTGTGCTCCCACTGTCAGCCATTGCCGGGCTAGTAGACAAAGAGGCAGAAACTTTCAGGGTAATTACCTGGTACCTCTTCCTGTTTGCCGTCCCTTAACCATCCCATGAAACATGCAGGATAGAGAGGATCATCATGGTTTGTAATACAGATTAGCCCTGGAGACCACGAGAGATGAAGACCCTGTAGTTAGTGTGACGGGGAAGATGGTGGCATCGCTGACTGGAACAGGGAGCCCAGATGTGATTTCAAGTTTGGACATACTGAATTTGGGGTGCGGGGAATGCATCCAGGTGGAGATGCCAGATGGAAGTTGGCCAAGTGGACCTAGTATTAGAGAGGAGTCAGGGCTGGAGACACACAGATGTCAGTCATTCCCACAGAAAGGGTAGTGGAAGCACTGAGGGGAGGGGTGTGGTGAAAAGGAGAGAAAGGGTGTCAGCGAAGTGGGCCAGAGAGGAAGCTGAGTGCCAAGAGTTAGGAGGAGGAAGAGGAGTCTGAGAAGAAGCAGTCACAGAGGTAGGAGCAAATCCAAGGCTATGGGAAACAATGGAAGGAAGTTTCAAAAAGGAGCTTGTAAACATCTGCACATTTGTTCACTCATTCAATAGATTTACCAAGTTCCTTCTATGTAGCAGGAACTGTTGTAGGCAATGGGGTCACACGGTGACCAACCAGGCATAAAAATCCCTGCTTCTTAGAGCTTACATTCTAACAGGAAGACAGAACAACAACACCAAAAGAAAGAAATACATTAAATCATTGCAAAATGTGATAATTGTTCTAACAGGATAAATGAGGGATGGAGGTGAGGACAAGATTAACAATGCTGGTCAAGGAAGGCCTCTGAGGAGATGACACTTAAACTGAGACTTTAAGGACTAGGAGGTGTTACTCATGCTACAGGGTGAAGAGTGTTTAGGCAGAGGGAATTGCATGTGCAAAGGTCCTGGGGGAAGAAAAGAGTTCATATGTTTGAGGAGCTGAGAAAAGGCCCGTGTAGCTGGAGCACGGAAATGAGGGGGAAGTGAGGTGCAGGTGATGTTCAAGAGGGAGGCAGAGAGCAGACAGTAGCACATGCGGGGCCTTTGAGATGAAGGTAAGGAGCTTGATTCTAAGCCCCTCGAACCTGCATTATGCTAATACTTGTGTGAAAGCTCCTAGCTGTGGATAAAGGATGTAGAGGTTCCCAAATATTTTT